AATTTTTCTTGCATAAAACGAACGACGGGGACAGTTAGATTACTTCCTCATTTCGTTCCTCGTGATCTAAACACGCAATATTATATAATCACTGGGGTGTCAAAATTTACTTTAGCTCTTTGACCTTTCTTAGGCCCAGGTTGTTGGTGGTTGACAGGTGTTCTGTTGTGGTTTCCTCCTTTTCTATCAAACATCTATCATCATCCTTATCATTTTTCCTTTTAATTTCCATTCTACTCTCTAGTAGTAACACCTCTAATCTTTGGCACTTATTATTTGTGTTGCAAAAGCTGTAGGCCTACTGTAAAACCATTACTAAAACTAAATTTTCTTACCAGACCCAACCCGTCAAGTTGGATGATAATGATAGAGGATCCAGCAGTAAGAAAGGGGATACTCGATAAAATAGACAATCCCACGTGGGAATCGAACTTGTGTCTTTCGATTTCCTCAACAAAGAGCCTAGGACTTCTCAGTATCACGTAAATGCAAAGATGGCCACAAATAACTGTATTATCAAGTTAAACTGAGAAGGCCTAACAAAGAACCCATCCATGACAAAATTGACACCAGGTTTTTAAAAGACCCTATTGGAGAGAGCATAAAGATGGAAACAAATTAAAGTAATTGTCACTTTTTCACCCTCATTGACACAATCAAGATCATTTGTGAGGCGTGCTGGCAAAATATATGAGTTAACTTCTCGAAATCCACAAATGGCGATATTGGCCAAAAATTGGCACCATGATCAAATTTGTATAAAGTTTTTCTATTGATGCCACATTCTTTAAGTATAACATAAAAATAAATATAAAAATACATAAATAAATAAAAGAAAGTAAGTCCGAAAGAGTAAGGTAAAAGAAAACAAATAAATAAACTATAAAAGATAAAGCGAAAAAGCAAAAAAACCCAAAAAAACAAAAAGCAACTGCCGCACTTTTAACGATGATATTAATATAAGCTTCTTGCCAACCCCCAACATGCCTTTCATTATTTCATAATTATAAATTGTAAAAACTTCACCTATAAGCGTGATGTATCTATTTCCATAGGGCTCAAATCCGAGAAGTTACTCATTTTTGTCAACACGCTTCACATTCAGTATATATGTTGTTTGTTTTAGTAAGGTTTTATGGCGCTTGCAACTGCATAAAGTCATATGAGCGCCACATTTAGTATTTAGGAGGAAGACTGCACCCTATACTTCCTTACACAGAGCTAACCCAGGCCGAGTTGGATGGAAATAATGAATTTTAAAAAATAAAATAAAAAAATAAAATATATATATAGAATCTATAAATAACTATAATGAAATTTTTTTTTAAAATCCCAACATTTTCCAAACCAAAATCAAACCCTTCTGCGTTCATCAATGGCGAAGAGCCAAACAGAGGGCATGTCATTCTTGTTTCATCCAATTTTGCCATCTTCAAGTTTCAAGACGCTAAAAATTTCATAGCGTCCTCTTAACTAACGAACGACCACTATCACCTGGAAATGGCCACAGCACCCTTTCTGCTGACTTGGGCCAGTCTGTCCCCGTAGTTTTATGCACCTCACATAATTTAGCAAAATTTTATCATTTTTAGCATAATTTCTGATTATTTTCCTTTATCATTCTTTGTTAAAATTAACAGAATCGCATAATTTCACATTTTTGGGCTTAGTTTGCATAATTTCACAATTTTTCTTGCATAAAAAGATGGGAACAGCTAACACCAACATTTTTTCTCTCTGCCTTCCCAGCTACATACCAGTGGGCGGTGGTACCAACCACTAGCCACTAGTGGGCGATTTGGTCATTTTGGCATCACTGGGAAACTTCCAGCAATATAATCGACAACTTATGAATAGTAACACCAGCACTCTTTCTCTCTGCCTTCCCAGCTACGTACTAGTGGGCGGTGGTACATGTACTAGCCACGACACGAATGGGCGATTTGGTCATTTTGGTATCAGTTGGAAACTTCTAGTAAATGTCGGCTTATGAAAACACCAACCAATACTCATCTCTCTGTCTCCCCAGTACAACTACAAGTTTCTTATATTCATCTCATCTAGGTGTATGTGCGTGTTTGTGAGTGTTTGCGAGTGAGTGAGTGAGTGTGTGTGTGTGTGCAAGTGAGTGAGTGTGTATTTGTGAGAGTGTGTGTCACATTCCCTCCCTCCGTATCTCTCTCTCGTCTCACTCTCACCCCCTCTCAAAAACAAATATTATTAAGACACTGACACAACAAAACAAAGACAAAAAGACCTTGTTTAAATGATACTTTTATTGATGAATATATAAACAATGAAACATGATGGCATTTTTGAAAAACAACTATTATTAGAACAATATCATGTAGGCCTACATGTAACCAAAACAACAAACATTGTTTTTATCAGCACCACTAGTGTTGGTAACCCCCCCCCCAAAAAAAAACACAAAAAAACAAAACAATGTCACTGCAGTTCGAACAAATTACGACTTCTGGGCCGCCGGTAGAGGGTTGGGGAAATATTTGTTGGCTGCCACGTGCTCCCTGAGATAACCCTCCCCCATCTCCTCGTAGTCTTTGCGGGTGATGGAGCCGGCCGTCAGGAGAGGCGACATGGCAAACTTCCTCGCTCCGTTCCATGCGTCCAGGCTGGGGTTGGCTGTAGAGATGAATTACGCATATTTGTTTGTTCGTTTGTTTGTTTTTTTAGTTGTTTTTTTTATAAGAGTTTTACAGCACGGACAACACAATAAGGTCGTAAAAGTGTCGAAGAATAGATGTGTTACAAGGGAGTAACAAACACAAAAAAGAAGGAGGAGAAATAAGGACGACAGATGTTTGATAGGAAAGAAGGAGCAAACCACACCAGAGACCCTGCCACCCACCCATTTGTTTGTTTGTTTGTTTGATCGAGTAAAGAGAAGAACATCAACATAATAACATTCATCATTTAGTACTGAGAAAAAGAAAGTACCTATAAAATACACCCTCCAGCCACCATATAAATTGAGCAATCTTAAGAAAGTTTGAATGTACAAAAAAACCAACAGATTTGGTTTGAGAAGAGAGCAGCACATCAACAAAACAATGGACATTTAGTGCTGGAAAAGAGTAAGACAGACAGAGAGAGAAAACAAGGAAAGAAAATTAGTAAGACTAAGACCTACTAATGGTTGCATCCAACCACCCATAAGCTGGCAGCTAGCAGTCCCGTGGGTCTAGGAGGTACCGTAGGTGAGTGTACAAGAAGAAAAGAAAAATGAGGCGCAAGGAATAAAAACTTGGACAACAAGAAAAAGAAGACACAAAAATGAAAACCAGGTCACAAACAAAATGAAAAAAAAACCCCAACAATATTGAAAGACAGAAAATGAAAACTTTGAAGAAGAGAAATACAAAAAGAACAAGAGAATAGAAAAAACTAAGACAAAAAACCCCACAAATAATTGGGTGAAAAATAAAGGATTTGTAGACGCAATCTGCATTCCAACACACAAAGATTATGCCATTCAGAACAAAAAAAATCCCCCCAAAACAACAACCAGAAAACAACCAATCAAAAGCCCCAAACACTCCGAGTACGATACTATTCATAACTTTCTTCACAGCCTCCGTCACACCAACCTGCACAGAAGACGTTGTAGGAGCTCTGGAACGGTCTCATCTGTAGCAGCTCCCAGTCGATCCTGTCCTTGAAGGCTTTCAGGTTGGCACATCTTTATTGTCCAGACAATTGGTTTGGTGTTTCATCACGTGTACACACACACACACAAACATACGCAAGCTTACAATCATATGCATAATATAAAAGAGCAGAACAATATAAACAATAATAATCTTAAGCTAGATACACACTCAATGTTATTCTGATGCATGCTTTAAGGTCATATGAATACTTATACAAGATGGTTAAGATGGAAAAATTTTGATGGACGATGGTGAAAATGACCTTTTGCATCTTTCTTTGATACAGATCAGAAGTCAAGGTCTTTTACTTCTGACTGATGTTTTTATTTGAGGGAACAAGGGATGTTTGTTGTCTACTTTAATCTTTATAGGGCAGTTTGAACATCAGAAGCGTGTAAATTTCAGTGCAAGTTTGAGAGACAAATGCCTCAGACAAAATTAATTAGAACATCCATTTCACATTACACCATTTACACACATCCAAGTATTTTTACTCAACTTTTAAACAATCTTTTCCTTTTATCATATTGGCCTGTAACACAGTATTAATAAACTCAGACAGCACAAGAAGTGACTATAGTATCCACTTTTGGTTGAAATGGAGTAATCGATATAGGTAGTGAACTTGTAAACCGCTCTTTTACCTCTGTAAATATTTAAGCTGTGGCTTGATTCGGTATCGAGATTCGAGACGTTTCTTTTTTGACTACATTATTATAGAGATTTCAAAATCATCAAAATTTCAAACTCGTTTTTCTCGAAACTGAGACAAGTGAATATAGTCACTTCTTGCGCTCAGCCGTCGATAAATTGAAGGTAGTTTTAATACGGCATCATGACCATTTATCGAAATAGGCAAGAAGAGAATATACAAAACTAGCCAAACTAAGCCTCATGAAATAAGTCACTACAAAATGAATGTAGCACTCGCAACCCTCCTCTCAACCTCACGACCCCAGTGCTTTCTTGCCCTATCTCCATTTTTAATAACAGTGAAAACAGTTTAAAAAAACAGTGAGCTTAAGAAGTCAAATTTTCAATATTTTAAAAAAAAGGAGATACCACAAGAAAGCACTGGGGTCGCAAGCTGTTTTTAATTTATTTAGTAGAGGTCTTATGGCGCTCGCAACTGCATAAGGTCATATAAGCGTAAAAGGGTGGATGCCAACAGAGAAGCCTTTACAGGGAATCAGGCTTACTCTGCTCATCTCTCTAGCTTCAACAGCACAAAGTCTGTTTTAGACTTTTACGGCACCCCGGAAATAGCGGGTCACAAGAGTGTGACAAACATACAAAAGAAGTAGAGGAAAATGACAATAGTAAGGATAAGGAAAGAAAAAGCAGCAGTTCCCTGTAGAAGATCATGCACAATTATGAGCATGACATTGTTGAATCAGCCCATTTACAATTCTACAGTGCATAAGAACGAGAAATGTCTCCCCTTTGGGAATGGCCTAAAAACACGTCAGTCAGTGGCACTGCCCCTGTGTGGGGGGGGGGGGGGGGGAGTCACAAGTTGTGAAACTGATGTTAGGAAACAAACCTGAACTATCCTGTCTTGCTTCTCCGCCTCTAACCTGTTCAACATGAACTCCATCGTCTCTGCCAGACCGGCCTGATCCAATCCCAGCACCGACGGTTGAAACAGAAGTTCCGGCGCCCTGTTACAACAAAAGAACTATAGTAACAATACCATAATATGTGAAGCAACGTGGAGAAATCAGGAGCTGGTCAAAATAATGAAAACGAAGAAACAGGCATTTTTCGTCAGCTTGGCAATTTTTATCAAATTGTTGTGTGTTTTGGTGCAACACCTTTTATGTTCATCTGAACACATTTCAAAGTGAATTTTACAGAAAAACGTTGATTAAAGGCACAAAATATGTAATTTTTCAGTTTTCAAGGGCTCTCAAGCTATTGAAGTTACCAAACTTTGGCGGCCATTTTCCCGCTAATTTTACCACTGAAACTAGGTGACCCCCACCTCCTTCAATTGCAAATATCTCGACTTGTATTGAAGATAGATGGGCCATTTTTTTTTCATTGAAAGCAAGACCCATGAACAAGCTTTAAGATGATACCAAAAGCTCCACTTTCCTAAAAATGACGAGCGCCTGATCCCACCGCGTCGTGACACATATGAGTTACTTACATTGCATTTTGACAAGTTTACACTATGGGTATTACATGAAAATAAGTAAAGTAAATTTGAAATAAGTTACATTTCATTGATCCCCGAGGGGGAAATTTTGAGTTACAATGGCAAAGATACATACGTAAACGCATAATTAGAAATACATACATAACATAAATACATACATACAAAAATAACAGAATACACATCGCAATACACAACAATTTCACAAACGTGCCATATAATATATAATACAAATATAATAAAATATAATATAACATAAAATAATATAATATAATATAATATACTATAATATAATATAATATAATATAATATAATATAATATAATATAGAGTATTTGTGTAACACAAATTCCCACTCAACAAGGAGTTCTATCCTGGCCCTATTGGATATTTGCTGTATAGCTCAAATTACCACTCAAAGGGGAGCTCTGTCCGCTATACAACCTACAAATAAGGACATGTTCCAGCTCTTCAGGGAGGGCGGGGGGTGTTGTTGTTGAGGAAGAACAGTACCAGTGCAGCTGCGTTGTGCACTCACTTGATCCTCTTGAAGGGGCGGAAGGACACACACACACACACAGACACACACACACACACACACACACACACACACACATACACACACACACACACACACACACACACAATAACTCACCTGATCCTCTCTATGCCTAGCTGCAGACGATACGACTCAGCCAGGGACAACTCGCCCGACAGTCCACCCGCGTCCATTTCTCTGGTGGTGGAACAAAACAATGCTATGAGGGGAAAGGGCTCGGTGTAATTCCAAATGATGAAATGGTACAGGTTTAACGCCCCTATCAACACTATCAGGCTGTTTACGAAGCGGGACCTACGAGTATAACGTCCATCTCTGACCTAATGGACCGAGCCAAGCCGGAAATTCGTATAAAGTGCCTTTCCCAAGAACACAATGTCGGACTGAGCTGATGCTTGAACCCCCGATCCCACAGTGCAATGATTAAGGGTCCGGTGGCCTAACCACTAAGGCTACTGACGCCAGTAACAACGTAATTCCAAATTCACCAAAACTCACTACAAAGAGCAAAAGCCAATCGAAGAGATCGGTCAAGTGCAAGATACGTGACAACCTGATCTCCAAATCAATCAACATCATTGTTATCATTTGCCTTTCTCACACCATGTGTCGGAATATAGGCCAACAACAACAGCAATAGATCGACAGTTAAGGCAAAAGTCATTCCAAATCTCCCAATCAGTCACTAGAAAAGGAAAGAGTCTACCCAGAAATCAATTTTCAGCATTTTCTTCGGCAGTTGGACTTCATGTGTAAATTCTTCTTTAATATCCAAAATCAATGAAACTTCAATCCAAATATCCAAATACCTTCACATCCCCTTCATTATCACTACCATCCATATCCTTTTTCACCCGGACAACAAACGTTGTTCTATCTTTTGTTTCTTTGTCTCATATACGAGGAAAAATATTCTCAGTAATGTCAGGTGAGTGAAATGACACGCAGTAAAAAAGGTTAAACAAAAATTCAATAGGAGGATAAAGTAGGACTGAAATGACACCCTCAAAGCCATTCTATCCAAAGTTGCAAAAATCACAAAGCTATTCTAGCTATTGAAAACTAAAAAAAAACCCCACAGATCTATTCTAGCTATAAAAAAAAGCTACGCATAAGACAAAATTATTCTATCAAAAGTTACAGAAAGCACCATCTGACCTATCTCCACCCCCACCCCCCTCCCCCATGCCTTAACACTTTGCGGTCACTCGGTGCAATAATGCGCTGGTGTGAAAATTACCCGTTCTGGTCACCAGACCCGAGAAGTCCGTTGCAGTCACTCTCCTGGCTGGGTGACCAGATGGGGTATTTTGTACTGCTAGCTGTGTGACTGACTGCAAAGTGTTAAACAATACCACTGTAACAATGAAAGCTTCTGCAGCGTCCTTACTTCTGAAACTCGGGGTCATGAACTTTGAGCAGCGTCTCCAGCTCCTCCAGCTTCTCTTCCTCCGCTTCCGAGTCACTGGTGCCGCCATCTTTGTTCTGGACAAGAGCAACAAAAATGAATATATAGATAAATAAACAAAAAATTAAATAATTAAATAAATAAACTAATAAATTATATTGATTTTAAAAAAATATATATAAAAAATAAATGAACTATTTAATTAAATACATTTTTAAAATGTTTAATGAATAAATAAATAGAGAAATAAATAAACTAATTAATTAATTTTTAAAAAAATAAACAAACATACAAATAAGTAAATAAATAAATAATGTACATCAATTTCAATGCACAGATATTAACCCACTTTGTATAATTAGTTTGTTTTGGGTTTTTTCTCACTCTCAGGATGGCTCTGAGTGATAGGCAAAGTTGAAAGACAGAGATACTTGATATATGATCTCCTCACTCAGCCTCCTGCATGTGAGGCAAAGTGTCTTCTTGCTACACAAGAGACGTCTGTAGAGACTATTAAAATACTGGTCGCTTTTAAGCACAAGCGGGCATACCCAGATTTCGGGGGTTTCTAGAAATCTTAACCTACACCAAAAGTGGGCATTTCCCAACCTATAGAAGAAGTTTGGTTTCATTGGTGGGTATATAATTTGTTTGGTTATACTATAGAGAAAACTCTCCTTGTCTTTTAAAGAAACTGAACAAGGGGCAAAAACTTTACCTTAGATTTTCTCAAAACAGCACATTTCATTATAACCCCCTTGTGCTTAGAAGCGACCAATTAAACTGAAAGATTTTATCACACCGATAGCCATAGGTGTTCTGACACAGTGGAACCAGGCGCTCATCAATTTTTTGGCATATGGAGCTATTGATATCACATTAAAGCTTGTTCGTTTGCCTGTCTTTGGAAGAAAAAGTACCCATCCATCTTGAATAGAAATCGAGATATTTGTGATTGAAAGACGTGGGATAGCCTGGTTTCAGAGACTGAAAATTTACAATTTTTGTTCCTTTAATCAACATTTTTAAAGTAAAATTCACTCAGAATTATTTTATATATGAACATAAAAGGTGTAAAGCCAAATTCGATAAAATTTGCCAAACTGGTAGAAAAATTCCTGCTTCTTCGATTTCATTATTTTGATGAGCGCCTGATTTCTCATATATGTGTCAAGACGCAGTGGAATCGGGCACTCGTCAGTTTTTTGGCCTATGGAGTTACTGGTTTAATCTTAAAGCTTGTTGATTTGTCCTTCTTTCTGTGAAAATTTTACTCATTTTTCTTGAATAGAAGTCGAGATATTTCGGATTGACGGAAGGGGGGGGGGGGGGGGTGTAACCTGTTTTCTGAGGTAAAATTAGTGAGAAACAGGCTGCCAAAGTTTGGCAATTTCTATAGCTTGAGAGTCCTTGAAAACTCAAAATTTGTATATTTTGAACCATTGATCAACATTTTTCAGCAAAATTCTCATGGAAATGTATTTTTATATTGACACAAAAAGTGTTGAGCCAAAAAACAAAAATTTGACAAAAATGGTCAAACTGGAGGAAAAATGCGTTTCTTCAATTTCATTATTTTGACCAGCGCCTGATTTCACGATGCCTCTCATATATTGTTTAGGGAAACAGCAGGAAGAAAGATACAAAAATAACAGAGGAACAAGACTTTACTTTTACTTTTACTTTTCTGATCCAGTGGCCATCTGGGTTCTAGCCCCTAGGCCTGTCGATATGGCAAAAAATTTACAGGTTTTTATCAGCTGTGTTTTGTCGCTGTACAAAGTATTTCTGATATCTGGAGAGGCAGGTAGATACGTGCTACGCAGGTCGCAAAGTTCAGGGCAGTTAAAGAGACGGTGTGATAGTTTTGGCAGTCACACTACACAATGGGCAGTCAGGTGGGGTATCCTTGCAGATGCTATTTAGGCAGGAATTCAGAGGGATGTGCTGTGTTCACAGGCAAAAGATAGGGAGTTGACAGAGGAACAAGAAAGGTACAGACTTATCTACATCTCAGCAAAACTTATCATTTCTGAATATGGTCATCTAATTTGGAAAAAAGTCAAAAATGAATTTTCAATGCATACGACACTCAATCAGTTCAGTTTTTTGTTTTTTTTTTTTTTTTCCTTTTGTACTCACAATTTCCTTATATACATCCCAGTCGGCGTCATTTTGTCCAAAGTTGTCTCCCTTCTTCGATGGCTCTGTCGATAGATCATTGACGAAAAGAATAACTTGATGAAATTGCACTCTTCTTACAACAGAAACCAGACATTGTCAGCAAAAAGTCAATTGTCTTCATAATGTTTTATCTTTAGTAGAAGTTATTTTACTACAACTACTTGCATAGGGCATAATATACATGCCGAAGATTAGAGGTGCTGCTAGAGAGTAACATACTTGTACAAAGAAAAGGAGATGAAATAAAGATGATAGATTATAGATTTTTGACAGGAAAGAAGGGGAAACCCACACAAGAGCATCTGCCAACCACCCACGCCTTCAAAATAGTGAGCACAAAAACTAGGAATGCGTATGAGGTTGTCTGGGTAAGTTTTGTGGGATAGTATTTACTCAGGGACGTACTGGAGAGAGAGAGAGAGAGAGAGAGAGAGAGAGAGAGAGAGAGAGAGAGAGAGAGAGAGAGAGAGAGAGAGAGAGAGAGAGAGAGAGAGAGAGAGAGAGAGAGAGAGAGAGAGAGAGAGAGAGAGAGAGAGAGAGAGAGAGAGAGAGAGAGAGAGAGAGAGAGAAAGTTGTGTAGAAAGCAGAAAAAAATAATTCTGAAGCCAAAATCCCGAAAAAGACTTGGACAAAACAATATTATTGTGCTGCACAATAAAAACCAATTTATCAGTGAAAAGTGTTTTGCTATTTTCAAATAGACCTAGAATCAAGTAATTTCATCATTTTTGAAAACTATTTTTAAAGTGAGAGAACCCCCCCCCCCACGAAAATACAACAATATTTGATTTGGTTCTTCTCAGCATCTCCAGGTCAAGTCCTGACTGTCCCTAGGTTTGCCTACCGATTTTACAAAGCTATTTTTATAATAATATATGTATCATACATGATTTTTAGCTGTAAGTTTCCAATAAATCAAGTATTCTCTTTACTCTGAACAAAGTTTTTAGTGTTGATTATTTGTAAATTTGTTTTGCTGTTTTTGTGATGTTTTACCTTCTGAAGGTTTGATAACTTATGGTAAAGGAGCAGACGATTATGAAAATATTTTGTTAAAAAATATATGAGGTGTGGTGACAAAATGAGTAACTACTTGCAATCCACAAATGGAGATATTGGCCAAAATCGACATTAGGGTCAAATTTGTTGATTTCCTATTGATGCCACATTCTTTAGGCCTAATTATAACCTGTCTTTTATTATTTCATAGGCTACTTATGAATTGTAAAAGCTACACCTGTAAGCGTGATGTATCTATTTCCTTACGGCTTGAATCCGAGAAGTAACTCATTTTGCCAGCACACTCCCCATATAGATCTGACTGTCCATGTCCCCAAAGTGCCCATAATGTTAAGGACCAGTTTTTAAAGACCTTTTTTCTATCCTTGATTGTAAACGTTTATGCTCCTGTCAATATTGTGTAGATCATATAGGTGGCTCTCTGTGCTTCGACCCTTCTTCTTATCAGAACCATCCCCAGCCAAGATGGATATAACACCCCAGCAGATACGTTATAACAATTATGTATGTTATACATTATTGGGCACTCTCATACGCCCATTTTTCTACTAATCAGCGTCAATATCATAGAAATGGGCAAGGGCCTAGACGGTCATATAATCAGGCCACCTGCGCGCTACTGACCTAGATTCCTTGTGGGCTGACACACCCGTGTAGTAGGCCCACAACCTTGTAGATCATTAGTAGTGATAAGCCTACGCAGGGTGCGGCGGTCAGTTTGAATTGTTGTTTGCTCATGCTTTGACATTGGATTATTTCTGCCTAATGCAGTTTGCTTTTCAAGTCATCTGGATTATGTGGATATTTTCTACATCATTGTGTGTGTTGAGGAACAGAAGTGGTGACTAATTAATTAATTAATTAAGATTGACCAACAGTTTTGAGATCGCAAATTTGAAGTGCTGTTTGGCTGCACTGTAGGCCTACTGTTCGTTTTCAGATTCTTCATCACCATAGTACTCAATGCTTTTTTCATCTGGATTGTGTGAATATCAAATATCTCTTCCATCAGTGTACGTGTTTAGATTAAACCTACAGTGAAGTTTTGACCGTGCAAGTTTAATTCATATCTGTCTAAAATCCATGTCTACACAGTGGAGGCCCCCCTCCTGATCCACACACTCTTCACTGACTTAGAGCCTCTCTATGCAAACAACCAATAAAAACTAACTCTCCATCCTATCCCTAGTTCTACTTTTAGATTTAGATTAGTTTGTAATACAAACAATAGGCTAAAAGGACCATGTAGATATAAATCTATATATCTAGACTCTGAGCGTCTAGGGGCCCACCCTTGTTAGGTAGGGAAAAGTATACGGATCATAATTATGGGGGAGCTCCTTTGTGTTGTTCCCGGCCTGCATTGTATATTAATATCTGCTGTTGTTTCACAGTGCTTACATGCTTCTCTTCTAGGCCTATTTCTTGCTTTCATCATGTGTGGTTATGACTCTGTTGGACTGTGACTGACACCTTCAAAATAAACTGAAGGAATAAGAACAACAGTGGGAAGAAAATGCTCAGTTGGTGGATGCAAAACTGGCTATGACAGTCAGAAAGGTGCACAAAAAGTGACCTTGTATGGATTTCCTTCGGATGAAACAGAATGTTGGGCATGGATTGCTAGTTTACCAAACATTTTATCCTATGAAAAGGTGTCAAGATCAAAAAACATATCAGTGTGTGCCCTCCATTTCCGTAAAACTCTAACTCAACTCAACTTTCTGTCTTTCCATCGTTTTTGTCTGTCTAGAATAATTTTTTACATGTCCATTAGTTTGAACACAAACACAGGGAAGCTAAACCATTGAGAGAGAGAGATAGAGAGAGAGAGATAGATAGCGAGAGAGAAAGAGAGAGAGGGAGAGAGAGAGGGGGAGAGAGAGAGAGAGGGGGGAGATTGAGAGGGGGAGAGAGAGAGAGAGAGAGAGAGAGAGAGAGAGAGAGAGAGAGAGAGAGAGATAGATTGGGAGGGAGAGAGAGAGAGAGGAGGGAGAGATTGAGAGGGAGAGGGAGAGGGAGAGAGAGAGAGAGAGAGAGAGAGAGAGAGAGAGAGAGAGAGAGAGAGAGAGAGAGAGAAAGAGAAAGGGAGAGGGAGAAAGAGACCGCCTTGCCGTGGCCGTTGTAATCATTATTATCATTACGAAGGTCACTGCTTGCTGTGGGCCGAAGCCTGAGCGGCCGGTGTGCCAGCCCACAAGCAAGGTGTGTAGTTCTTGGGCTGCGCGGCTGATTTATGATCGCCTAGGCAAGGGCTAAAAAAAACAACCCAACAACACCCAGTAGATAGACGGACAAACTCAAACCATTAGCCTATAAATGTATACGTACTGCCCTTGGCGGGGGATTGAACCCACATCTTTCAGATTACATGCTGAAGTCTACCAATGAGGCAAAAGACCAGTTTTAAACAACTTTCTTGACCTTGACCCTGCAACTTACAGTCAAACACACACACAGCGAAATCAGAGGGATGTGGAAATCTTTTTGTTTTGTTTTTTAGATACTACAAAGAAAATACATGTACAAGAAAAAATTCAGGACCTGAAATCCGTTCGCCCGTTCTCTATTTTGTGTGTGTGCGTTTTACTATAAATGTACTATTTATGTGCATGTTAGCTACGTGCGTGCTAGACTAGATTTTTGGTAAAACTTTAGCCCACTTTTCGGATCTTACTGCAGTGGGGTCATAAATTTGTGGTGCGACTTATTATCGAATATCAAATATCGAACTACTCTCCTACTTTTACACTATGACTTGAATCAATTTGTCTTAACAGATCAATATTTGTTGTAAACACCTGTATTCTAAAAGATTCCTTTATAAATTCCAATAAAAAATCCTATAGTGTGGGAAAAAATTCGTAGTATAACTTATTGTCAAATATCTCCTTAACTGTTGAACATAGATTCTCCAACTATTGCACAACGACTTATATCAATTTGTCTTTACTGATGAATATTTTTTCAAACATCTGTACATTATATTCTAGAAAAATCCTTAATAAATATTCATTTAAAAAATCCAAGTCGATGGTTTCTACAGCTTTTAAAAAGTTTACAACTCGGGCAACATTGCTTTTAAAAGCAAGTCCATCATTTTTTTTCTAATCGCGACTTTATGCTTATTGAACGCATGTTTTGAAAACATTTAGTGCCAAAAATGTGTTCACTTTAAAATTAATTTCTGGTAACAAATTTTGCCACTAAAAAGTGTCATTGGTAAGCTGTGACGTAGGCCATATATATATATATATATATATATATATATATATATATATATATATATATATATATATATATAATGCATATACAAAATGTGTGCTCGAAGCGAGAAGTGCTGTGAACAATCCCATTTTTCGTGTGGCGGAAATTTATAGTAGGCCTATTGATATATAAATTTACGAAGAAAAGTTTTTAAATTCTAGCCTCAATTGTTGTGTAAAAATATGACTTACTGGTAAGACAAATTGATACAAATTGCTGTGCAAAGTATGAGTGACGGTGATCAACCCGTTAAAGAGATATTAGTGAATAAGTTGCACCTCGAATTTTTTACCGCACCTAGTGGGTGGTTTCTACAGATTTTACCAGGTTTACAGCTAAGACAATAGCACTTTTAAAAGCAAGTCCGTTATTTTTTTCTAATCGCGAGATTATATTTATTGAATGCATGTTTTCAGAACCTTAATTGCCTTTAGTGCAAAAAAAGTGTTCACTATAAAATTAATTGCTTGTTACTAGTTTTGCCACTAAAAAATGTCATTGGTGAGCTGTGACGTAGGTCATATATTATGCGTACGCAAAATGTGTGTAAGAAGCTGGAAGTGCTGTGAACAATTCCATTTCCCGCGTGAAGGAGATTTATACAAGTATTTAATCATATAAATTCATGAAGACAAGTTTTTTAATCTAGCGTCAATAGTTGTGAAAAAATAAAATGATTAGGTTAAGACAAATTGATACAAACCGCTGTGCAAAATATGGGTGACATTGATTCACCCGTTAAAGAGATGTTTGAGGATAAGTTGCACCACGAATTTTTTACCGCACCACAGGTGTAGTACAAATGTATATACGTGGGGGGGGGTCCTCATTCTCCATAAAGCCACATGTGGGTCGCCTTGACTTTATGCACAAAAAGAAATAGTTTTAACAAAATTTAAGAATGGGGTGAGAGATTATATAATATTGCGTGTTTAGATCACGACGAACGAAGTAAGGAAAAGGTCTAAACATCATTATATTATATAATCCCTAGACCTGAAACTAGAATTTTATGGATAAAGAGTGTGAAAAGTAGGAAATGCGGTAGCTGGGGTTCAAGGGCTACGAAGCTATGCCACCTCGATGTACAGCACCTCAAAAATTTGAAAGTGTAACCTGAGATGGATTGTGCAGATTAGGAATAATTATATCATTGGATTCTGACCAATCAAAATTATTCCTATAAAAAATAAAAATGAGTAAGAAAAATTTCAATACCCTATTTCAACATGATACTATTGAAATTAACTCTATTAATGATATTAAGTTAATTAAGGAAAAAAAAACATTTAACCATTATCCATTTAAAGTTCGTATTTCCTTTAAAGCTTGGTTTAAAGCACCAACCGAAGATGAAAAAGAGATAGATAGATACTATAAATATCCAATAAAATCAATTAATTTAGAAAATTAGATCAGTAAATTCTATTATCTAATAAAAAAGAAATTTAATGAGTGGACAGATAATGTGCAATTAGTAGGTAGTGGATATGTATATTCATTAAAATATTAGAAGCTGAAGTTAAACAACACAAATCCAAGCCATTAGAAGCCTCTTCATATTTAGGCCCATCTATTGGTTTTCAATCTACTTCTATTATTAATATTCAAATTTGAGATAATAAGTGGGTTTTTTATATATTGTATTTTAGTTAAACAAAATCCAGTAAAAAAAAAGTTTCTAGAACCTCTAGTTATAAGGAAAATGTAGATCATATTAATAGGAAGGCAATAGAAAATCCTATAGAAAAAAAGTTACTGATATTCCTAAAGTAGAAAAACAAAATGAATTTTCTATCTGTAAATGTATTTGGATTAAATGATATTTCTGATTAAACTATCTATCTATCCAATATAAATATATAAAATTATGATGATGGAGAAGAGATAATAGATCTGATATATATATATATATATATATATATATATATATATATATATATATATATATATATATATATATATATATATATATATACAGTCAAACCTGTGTAAGACGGCCACCCATTGTAAAGGGGAAAAGTGGCCGTATAAGACAGGTGGCCGTCTTAGGCAGGACTGATCAAGATGAAGTAAACAAACCCCATTCCCAATCGAAAGTAGCCGCATTATTGTTGTTTTTGTTGTTGTTGTTGTTGGCTTGTATTTTGTTTGTTATTTTTATTTTGTTGCTGATTTTGTGCAAGGGTGACAATAAAACGAAATGTGTGAGACAAGGAGGACCGAGTGCTATGGTAAAACAAACACACGTGTCGCTACCATTCGAAGAACGAGCGACGCTTCTGTCACAAGTCCATGTTGACGTCCATTGTTACTTTGTTACAGACTGGGTAAACAGTGACCACTCATCTCACTTACGATTTGTGTATGAATTCTGGGCGGGGCTTATGGGTTATGAGGGATCACAACGCTTCCCTCACCAGCAGCTGGAAATTGGTACCTATTGGTCAACAGTGGGAGGGGCCTACGCAACATGATCGGTTGGAGGGACTACCTAACAACAACGACAGGATTATGACGGCTCGCCCACAACGCCAGGGGTCAATGCACAATTAATGACATTAAAACGTAATGGAGTCACTAAGGTGGCCGTCTAAGACTGGTGTTGTTGCTTAGTGTGATAGGGGTTGTGTGTTAAAATAATATAGTGGCCGCGGCCGCGTTGGACAGGTGCCCGTTTACACAGTTAAATTATATAGAAAAAACGCAAGGGGGGAAGTGGAAAGTGACCGTTTGTACAGGTGGCCGTCTTATGGAGGTGGCCGTCAGGTCAGGTTTGACTGTATATATATATATATATATATATATATATATATATAGAGAGAGAGAGAGAGAGAGAGAGAGAGAGAGAGAGAGAGAGAGAGAGAAGGAGAGAGAGAGAGAGAGAGAGAGAGAGAGAGAGAGAGAGAGAGAGAGAGAGAGAGAGAGAGAGAGAGAGAGAGAGAGAGAGAAGGATGGAAAGACTCATTATAATATTCTAATTAAGGATTTAAGTAGATATCTTTATGATGATAATAGACATAAAAGATTTGTCTGCCGTAATGGTCTATATTCAGCTACAGCAGAAACAGCGTTAGAAAATCATCGAAGAATCTGTGGAGCACATTCTTCAGCTAAAACTATAATGAGTCGTGATGACTTTACAGCTTTTCAAAAACATAGTTTTAAAATTAGACTACCATTCGTTATCTATTGTGATTTTGGAGCAACTAATATTCCTATAAATGATA